ATTATCTCCAGGAGCCATGCTGCGCCCTGCAGGGGGAGGAGCTGCGCCCTGCAGGGGGAGGAGCTGCTGGCTGCCGTGTGCTAGATGGGACCACGAGGTTTCTACTTGCCATGCCTCATGCCTAGAGCTGGACAGAGCTAGTCACATGTATTTTCATGGTATGAGATTTGTGTCCTGCCCCTACCTTGTAATTATAATATTTTAGGTCATCTTATAAAGTTCTTCTATCTCATTTGTTCCTCACTTGAGTTCCGTCAGAATTATCTCCATTTAATTTTCTTTCTTTTTTTAAAACATATTTTTAATGATTTCAGAGAGGAAGGGAAAGAGAGAGAGAGACATCAATGATAGAGAAGCATTGATCGACTGCCTCCTGCGCGCCCCATACAGGGATCGAGTCCGCAACCTGGGCATGTGCCCTGACCGGGAATCGAACCGTGACCTCGGGGTTCTAGGTCAATACTCAACCACTGAGCCACACCAGCTGGGCTATCTCCATTTTACAGTGTAGGCTTAGCGAGAAGAGGTGACTTACTCAAATCACACAACTTGTAAGAGATCTGCTTTAAGGTCACCAACTGTCCTTTTAGGAAATGTTTATCAAGCAACTGCTCAGTACGATAACAGAGCTCACCAAGCAGGCTCCGCCCGTCCCCACCTGGTGTTAGGCGTTGAACATCCCCCATTCCCTTTCGTCGCCACAACAGTCTTCGAGGTGGGAGGGTGTTAGAGCCCATTCGCACGGGAGGAAAGGGGCTCAGATAGGGGGACTTGCCCAGGGTCACACAGAAGCTAAGGGCAATGGGTGACTATGCTGTGGTCCCTCCAACCGGCTCTCACAGTCTCCCAGAGTTGAACCACAACAGGAAGAGACAAAGACAGCAACGGGGCTTGTTGGCAGGTCAGTGGGTAAGGCAGGTGGGGTGGTGCTGGGAGGAAGAAGTGTTTCTGGGAACTATGGGGGCAGAGAAGCTTCCTGGGGAGGCAGAAACCTCTCACACTTGGGCTCCAGAGGGCCCTGGGTGGTGGGAAAACACTTTCTCAGGCCTCCTGGCCACACTGTGTACTTGTTCATGGTCAAATCCAGCCTTTAGTAAACTTATCGACACCTCCCCCTCTGATCATCACCGGGATGATCATCCACCTCCCTCCACCATCCCCACTTAATCACAGCCCCCGGCCAGCACTCTGGCCTGCGACCGCTGCCCATGCCTCGGCACAGAGGGGCTGCCCAAGGCCTCGCTCAACGTGTGGGCCTGGGGCCAGCAGCACCAACGTGGCCTGAGCTCGTTAGAAACTCTCTCGTGAGCCAGCGCTCAGCCCGCCCCAGACTCTGCATCGACCCTGCAGTTTAACAAGATCCCTGGGTGA